TGGGAATCGGAAAGGTCAGACCTCTGCAACGAAATTTATGAACGGATATGTAATAAAGAATACAAGCTCGGAACGACGAAACTCATCGATATTAACGCTCAGCGCCTTGCTATTTGTTATTATATAAGGAAGTGAATAAAACACTGGCTGACAATATTTTGTATACCATTTTTCAAAGTCAAACACTTGCACGTCACGATTTATACAAAGTGACGTCACTTGCATTTCAAATTTCCAGAACATCAACCTTAGAGTTCATATTTTCCTAACACAGCTAATAATACTAAACCCATACGGAACTGCTCGATCTTTCATAGCCGTCAATATGGTGTAATATTCAGAAAAATGTTATCATCACTATATTGGAAATTCTAGAATTATATTTATTAAATAACCAAAAACATTTTTAATATTAATAATATAAATTTTATGAAATAACTCTTTAAGTCTAATATTCCACAAAATAATAATTTTAATTAAATATATTAGATAATTGTACGCAACTGATATGGAAATACTTTAAGTTTTATTGACAGTTAAGCGTGTGGCAAAAGTGTATAAAGTGTTGCCGCTTTTTTAGAGTAGTAATTTTGTTTATGTTTTGATTTCTTACACAATTTGATCATAATCTAATATATATTAATAAATTGTACGTATAAATACATATTAAATTTAGATTATTAGCTTTAACAACTAATTCTTGTTGCGTATTGTGATTGTGGTATGCCAAAACAAATGCACAGTCTGTAGAAAGCTGATTAGTTTTCATATAGATAGATTATTTTGAACGAGAAATAATGGCGTAACGTCAAAATTCAACAATAGAAGACAACAAGTAACTTTCACTCGCCTCCGGATTGGCCATACTCGGTTAACACACGACTACCTACTAAAACGTACTGATAAAGCTGTGTGTGACATATGTAAAAGTATCTTAACGGTAAAACATTGTTTATTGCAGTGCCCCAAGTACGATGTACAACGCAAAATGTATAACATTCCATCAACATTAAACAGTGCTCTTGGAAAAGAAAGTAATACTAAAAATATTTTCGCGTTTTTTAAAGACTGCCAGCTGATATTAAAAATCTGATATTTTACTGTGTATAGATCTAGGTTCCCAACCCAGTCATTCAAAGTCCCCTTCACCTGGCCTGACTGTCATTAGTGATAATACCGGTGAGGTTAAAAGTCAACTTAAAACAGCTGATAACAACCAAATTGGAAACAATAATAAAAAAATATATTTAACAAGAAACATGTTAGCCGCGCTATTCACGATGCCGTAAATCAACAAAAAAAATTTAGATATACAAAATTTAGAAGAAACTGATGGTGAAATTAAGAAAGATGAGTGGTTGACTCAGAATCGTCGTAAACGTAGACGTCAATATTTAATTGGTGGAAATGAGATGGAAAATGAAAATAATTTCTATCCTTGTGTGATCGGTACACACCGGAGGGACCGCAGACGTTCGGATACAATTAGCGTCTCTTAGCAAAGACAATGACGTCGACTTTGCTAAGTATCAAGACAATTACTCTACTCACACAAACACACACACACACACACACACACACACACACACACACACACACACAAACTATATTAATAAACTTATCTTGATTGAGACTGGCTGAATGACAATTGTCCAAGCCAAAACACACAAAAAAAAAAAATTCTTGAAGTCCAATGTATGGTACATAAATCAAAAATGCCTGAAGCATATAGTTCCATGAAGGTCACCATTATTCAAGAAAACCTAAAGAGAGCTTGGAACAAAGATGTTTGGCCAAATGGTGCAGTGGTATCTAAGTTTTTTGTGAAGAGGAGGATGCCAATGTAACTGGATCCTCTTTAAAAAGTATTGTTAAATTTAAAAAATGTTTAAATGTCATTCACTATAATGCTCAATCTTTACGTAACTCTTTTCTAGATTTTGAAGTTCTGCTTAATGATATTTCAGCTGATTGTTTGTGTCTTAATGAGCACTGGCTTTTATCTGATGAGCTACATACTGTCAATATTAAAGGCTATCGTCTGGTTTCTGAATTTTGCAGGACGGTCAAGTCTCATGGAGGTGTAGGTATATATACTAGGAATAACGTAAGTTTTAATCATTTGAATATTGAAAATCTCTCTTCTGAACAGCATTGTGAGATTACAGGTATTTTATTAAATAAATCTAATGTGCAGCTTATTACTGTATATCGTACTCCACATGGTGATTTAGACAAATTCTTTATCATTATGGCTAAAGCTCTTAAAAAAATTAATGTTCATAAACCTGTTATAATTACGGGTGACGTTAATGTTCATTTTAATGAAACAGATATCAGAGCTTTAAAACTCTGTAATTTTTTTAGATCTTAATATAACAATAACAATATAACAAAAAAAGTTAAATTTAATACTCGAGGTAATAGATGTCTTGATAATGTTTTCGCAAATATTGATGGTACCACAAAACCTGTGGATCTCACTCACACATCTGACCACAGAGGTATTTCCTTTCAGATAGCTTACTCATCCACAAATTGTGCAACCAGAGTTTGTTATAGACCTATCACAGATGAAGGACTCTTTAATATGAACCAGATTTTGCTAAATTGCAACTTTAATTTTGTATACAATGATAGTTTGGATATTAATTTAAAATTTAAAATGCTAATTGATGTGTTATTAAATTCCATAAATACCTCTTTTCCAGAAAAATCTAACTTACTAAATAAAAATAATCCAGGTAAAAAAGTAAACTGGTTCAATGACACTTTGAGAAAAATGCGTGCAAGACTTCAATTTATTATAGCAATAAATAGAAACGATCCCATTGCTGCACCTAGAAGTACCATTATCAAACTTAGAAAAGAGTACAGGGAAGCCACCAAGCTTGCAAAAATTAATGCAAATGATAGGTTTATAAAAAATTCTGGTAACTCTCAACAAGCTATGTGGAAACTTATTAATGGTAACAAACATAAAAATGTTTTCTTCACTGATAATTCTAAACTCAATGCAGATAGTTTTAATAGCCACTTCTGCTCAACTGCTGAGAGAGTAATAAATGAGCTTGAGGTTCCTCAGCTAACTCTTGATGACTATTTAAAGTATATACCACAAAAAAATATTCCATGTTTTAGTTTTCAGCCAGTGAACTTTAGTGAAGTTGACTTAGCTATTACAGAAATAAAAAATAATAACAGCAAAGATCCTGATGGGTTTAACACAAAAATTATCAAAACAATTAAAGATATCGCACCCTTAGTATTAAAAGGACACATCTCGAAAATTAGGGTTTCTGAGTTTTTGGCATAAATGGGCACAAAACTACTAGTACTACAACTTGGCCTGGACAGAAATTAAAAACGGAGAATATAAAGCAAGTCCCGATATAATGTGACCCTTTCGTACTCCCTTCTCCGCCAACACATCTTTCCGCGAGATAGGCCCATTCAGTAAGGTGCCGATGTCTGTCGAAGGTGTGTTAGTGAGCGCTCCCATTACGAGTTGAGCCCTTCTCTTACAAAACTTGAGGTACGTGTTGTTTTATATTTTTTACATAAATAACACTTGTGTCGAAAACGTTGCTCTACGACAATGTGTAACCGAAGCGAAGTTTCTGGGGATATATTTGGATGCAGGATTAACCTGGGAACAACATATAGTTAATCTATCGAAAAAGCTTTTCCGACAACTTTTTCTCTTCAGGAACCTTATACAGGTGACTTCCAGGGAAACTATTTTAACAGCTTATCGTAGTAATTTTCATTCTCATCTGACATATGCTATTCTCTCCTGGGGTCACTCTTGTCATATCGATAAAGTGTTTGCACAACAAAGAAAGTGTGTTCGTATCATCTCTGGGCTCTCTTATAAAGCAGACTGTAGAAACTCCTTTAGAATTTTAAACATTTTAACTTTACCTTGTGTATACATTATGCAGTGTCTGTTGCACGTTAAACAAAATCTCAGCCAATACAATGCGCATGTAGATTTTCACAATTATCCCACCAGATTTAACAATAATCTTATACCAGAATTTAGCCGTCTTGAGAGATCCAGAAATGGTTCTAGGTATTTAGCCATAAAATTTTACAACTTAGTGAAAGCTAGAATAAAGGCTCTTTATTTTCATCAGTTTAAGGCAAAAATTAAGAATTACCTTGTAGTGAATGCTTTTTTTACATATGAGGAGTATTTTACTTCCAATTTTAATTTGCTGTAATTGTTAACAGTATATTTAAAAAAATGTATCTATGTTTTGTGTTTATATTTATGTGTGTATATTAACTACATTGACATTAATTTATTACCAATAAACCATCTATCTATCTATCTATCTATCTATCTATCTATCTATCTATCTATCTACATATCTATCTATCTATCTATCTACTTCGACATTTTTATTTGAAAACAATATGTTTTAAAATATACTTTTATAGGCGCTACAAGTTTATTATTCTTAATAAGTTCTTCAATTAGAGAATTTGGACACGTACTGGTGATAAACGGGACCAGTTTTTGTCTGTAGATTCTACAAAAACATAATATTACCCTGAATCGTTTATTTTATACCTGTTATTTAAATTATTATACCTTTTGTCTTCTGTATTAATTAATAATGTATTATTCTGGGGTGGCTCAACACCACCCCCCAATTCACTCATAATATTAATTATTAATTAGTTCCTACTTTTTTTGTAGATCGGTTGGTTTATTTTCAAATTAAATACCTATTAATTTGTTAATGGCACTAGTTAACGACACCGGCACAGATTTATCGTTGACGATGTTTACCTGTTTAACGAATACTTTATAATATTTAGATAAAACATATACAAAAATATATTTATTTACATGAAAAGTATTTTGTATAAAAGAAATCCATTTTAAATGTTAAACATTTTTATACTTTAAACATTCCAAAAGTTCCATAAATATTAACCATCTTATGGTATTTTAAAAAATTAATTTATTATAGCTTAAAACCTGTTACTTATCCTAAAAAATGTACCAAGTTTATAACTTCGAACATCATTAACAGCTTTCGACATTATACAAAAAATAATCTTCAAAGTAATTACAACTCTCCAATTCTCTAAATAATAAATATCCACTTACCTATGACGGTAACCAGAATCATAAGGCCCAGAACGATCGACAATACTCCCATGAGGATTAAATCTGATAAAGGTTCTCCTTCGCCGGTGTCGATAAATGTATCGTTCGAGGTGGAGTTTTCGAAGGTACTGGCATTTAAAAAACATGACACTTCCGAGCAATTTACCGTGTATAAAGATTCTAACGACGTTTCGTTGGTTGGAGTAGGAAACTGGAACATTACTAAAATAAAAAATTACACATTTAACATGATATGGTTTGTGTACATTGTATTTAAAAATCAAGTAAAACTAATATTTAATCATAAAAACAAACGATTTAATGTTGATTATTATATTTTCCTTACCATTACTGGACTAACTAGGCCCAGTGGATCGAATATCTAAGCTATGACTGATAAAAAATACCTATTTTGTTCACTCTATTTTTTCTTGTAATAATTGTGATATTAAAATGTAAAAATCTTCCTTTAAATTTAATAATAGACCAAGAGTTTTATTTATACCATATTTAGCAAGATATTGCTATATTAAGTACTCCTGCTGAAGTAGACTCATGCATAAGAACCTCTAGATAATTTGACTTCCATTTTCATAGCGGAAAACTTCTGAAATCCAAAATACTACTTATTTCTAACCTTCTAGCTTCTGCCGTCATATTTGTACCAGTTATTAAGTCATTCCTATTAATGACTTAATGAAATTTCCTACTTCGTCTCGCGTTGTAAATCTCGATGGGATTTCTTACAACTTGTGTGGATGAGAAATTAAAATTTGCATCTACACCTTCGATATATATATCAGCTCTAAACCTTCTAATAAACCCAAAAAATTTAATAAATCATTCTGTAATTTAGGACTCGCCATTAACGTATGGGTTAAATACCATACAAAACAACCCTATACTTCGCAGTGATCGAAGAATCCTTGATCACTCCGCAATGAGAGAGAAAATGGGCAACTTCTGAGACTTGATATTTATTTTTAACCTTAATCATTTGTAATAACTGGATATAATATATATTATTCCAACATGAAATTATGCTTTTGTTGCTTCAGGTCTTTATCCGTTTCTAATTAACTTTACAAATGACTAAACCTTTTTCAAGTCCTCTCATATGATTGACCTAACTCATCGGCATTAGTCTTAAATGGATATTTTACAATAAACCTGCCTTCCGAATTTCTTATCATAGAATTTTTAAATCACTATGCTTCGTTGTTTTTATTTTTCGCGAACTTGCAAATTCGTTTTTTAATTTGAGCATTGACCCCTGGTATAGGACCTAGTATAGTCCAACCCAATTTGATTTTTTAAATAAAAATGTCTAAACTGTCTCATATACAGTAAGTCCCAAAATAGTGTTACTTCAAGTGACAAGTTTATTTTATTTAACAATAAAACACTGAAAACTTTGTTTTCAAACTTCCACAAAATTTATTTTAAATATTATCACTACAGCTGTTTCGGCTGATTGCCTTTCTCAAGTGATCTATCTTGGCTTGGGTTTACAAATTTATAGTCTCTAATGAAATAGCTTGAGGAGGGAATAACTGTTTGTCTCAAGTTGGTCATTCAGAATTATATCTGTGTTTTTTTAATTTGTTGATTTCTATAGATTCTAACAAAGATAGCTTAAGGCCTTTATTTTGAATGTGAAGAATTTTAAATTTGTCATTAAAATAATGATTATGATCTAGAAGGTGAAGTGCGTATGTCGAATCTGTTTTTCTATTCTTGAAAGCCCTTTTATGTTCTGCTATTCGTTTTTTAAAGTTTCTACCAGTTTGACCGATGTAAGTTTTTGGGCAGTCGCCACATTGAAGTTTGTACACACCACTATTTAAGTGTTTTTTATTTTGGCTCTTTTTATTTTTAATATATTTGCCTAGGTTGTTATTTGTTCGGAAAGCTGGTGTTATTCCTTTCTTTTTTATGTGTTTGGCAATTTTTGTTGTTATTTTGCCTGTATATGTAATCGAGCAGAAGGTACTGGGTTTTTTCTCTGGTGGTGAAAATACTAATTTCAGGGCTTTCTTGTGTAGTTTTTGATTTAACATTTTATTAATTGTTTGTTCGTTGTATCCGTTGTTTACTGCTATTTGTTTAATTATATTTAATTCGGTCTCAAAGTTGTATTTTGACATCGGAATTTCTGTTAATCTATGTAACATACTATGATAAGCTGCCAGTTTATGTTGTGTTGGATGGGATGACGAATTGTGTATAGTCGTATCAGTATGGGTAGGTTTATGAAATATGGAGAAGTCATGTTTGTTTTGAAGTCTGCTAATTTTTAAATCTAAAAAATTTATGGATTAAATTTTGTTCTGTTTATATATATAAACAAATGTGTTACATTTGTCTTCAAGATATGTATAAAATAGGAGCTACACTATCCCACAATAGCTCCTAAAGGCATACTCTGTGTATTCTTTTTTTACTCAAATATAAAAGTGTGTGTCTATTTGTTAGTTTTAATGTATGCATATAATGTTAGAAGAAAAACACGAAGATGACATGTGGCTCTTTTTTCCATCTTTTAAACATTTGCGCTATAAATGCTCTTGTAATGTATAATTCTTTAAATATTGATATTTTTCACATACCCTGTGTATTGTACAATATAAAAATAATTTATGCATCCTTCATTTATTACCATAAAGCGTTTGACATAGTAAAACACGAAAACCTCATGCAGATATTAACAAATATTGGAATAAACACCTGTGATCTAAGAATTATTAGCAATCTTAACTGGAATCAAACACAGAGGCAGGAGAATCCGATGATATCAAAATCAAACAGGGGGTCCGACAAGGATGTATACTATCACCGTTGCTATTTAATATTATACTCTGAGGTAATATTCCAAGAAGCAGTAGAGGATTTTAAAGCCAGAATTCGAATTAACGGAAAATATGTCAATAACATCAGATAGGCGGATGACACTGGTATTTGCTGACAGTTATGAAGCCCTATAAGAGTTCTTTTTCTTAAAGTTCCATCTAATATCTATAGAGCCCTCAATCTAAAATGCAACTGAAGGTCTCTGTTGGTAAGCATTGTCTTCATTTTCACAAATGCTTGCCTTGCAGTTTCAATTCGGACTTTTATTACTCTGCTTTGGTCATTTTTGTCATCAACCCAGGTTCCCAGATATTTGTATGTCACTACTTTTTCTATTTGGGTTTGCTCTATCATTAATCTTTCATTTCCATGTTGCGTTTTTGAGACAATCATAAATTTAGTTTTTCTATTATTTATTTTTAGTCCGTATCTAATGCAATAATCGTTAATTCTATTTACCAATTCTTGTAGCAATTCTATTATTCACAGAAGTGATTCTATATGGACTTTTACTAAACATTAAGAAAACAAAATATATGATGTTCTCCAAGAAGCAAATTTAAGGAGTATCAATAAAAATCAGGTTACTAGGTTATTTTATCTTGCCTATACTATTGTACGGAGTTAAGTCGTAGATATGCACAGTCGCTCTCTGCAAGAAAATTGAAACTTTCAAAATATTGCTTTATCGTCGAATACTAAAAATATCCTATATTGACCACGTTATTAACCAGGACGTTTCATTGGGAATGCAAAAGGGAAAATAGTTGTTATTCACAATAAAAACAGTCAAAATCGAATACCTCGGTCACATCATGAAAAATAGCGAAAGATATGTGTTGCTACAATTAATTTTTCAAAGAAAATAAAAGAAAACGGGGACCAGGAAGGCGAAGGATTTCAAAGAACGTACCTGGTTTAACATAGATCTATTTGTGATATTTGTAACTTGTAATAGAAAGAAATGGAGTAGTTGAAAAAAGGCATAAGAAGAAATTATAACATAAGTCTGTATATAAAAGTTTTTTAATGGAATACTGCCAATTTAATAAAAGATTTTATTAGGGTAAATGTTGCTCAACCCACTGTATGTAGTTTAGAAACATTTACTTGTATCTACAAATAAAGATTTACAAAACTGTTTATTTAAACGTTTTACATAAAATCTAAATATTTTCCTTAGCTAGAGCGAACAAGCAGGTAAATACTACTGCGATAATGGAATGCTTAACAAAATATTCGTGCAATTTTTAAAGCTCGAAAGTCATTTGTGGTGTAAAGACATACTCGTCAGAATTGTTGACCTATTTTGTTATGTGTAATACAGAGCAATTCCTTAGATAATGTCACTTTCCAGTTTCCACTTTGCTACTTAGCTTAATGAGAACTTCATGTTGTTCAAATCTTTAACGCAGTGGCGGTTGCAAAAATAAAAAAAAAGAAGAAACGTTCAAGCGGGTGGATGACGAATACGGTAAAATAATTTTTTTTTGTTAAAAAAAAATTACACTGTAACCTTATAAAGGTCGTATTTTTCTTAGTTTTCTTTAAATAATTATTTTATTTCAGTTTATTTTAATTTCAATAATTTATTAGTTTCATCTTTTAATTTACTCTCTTTATTTTAAAAATAGCTGGAACTCAACTCTTTGCTCTACTCTCTATTTAAATATTTTGTCCTAAATTAAAATTCAATTTTAATTTTCTTAATTTCTTTGATTTAAACCTTATTATGTTCTATGGAACGTAGAAAAATATAAAATTTCTATGCATCATTTTAGTCTACAAAGTATCTGTTAGTTTAAAACTATGTTCTGTCATGCCACTTAAATGCTGCGGAATGAGAGATTCTTCATCTTTTCATCTATAAAAAGATATGTTTTAATTTAAAACTTAATTATATATTAAATATTTTCCTAGGTTGATTACATTTTATATTTAGAGTTGACCAATTTTTTAAATATGCCTTTTTATAATTTTTTTATTTGATTGATTTTTATACATAACCTCCAACCCCTGTGTATATTTTTAAACTATGTGCAGTTAGTATCTTTAAAGTATTTTAAATAGTTTATTTTAAAAATAATGCCAATTTGTTCCGCATTGTTGGATGGAATCTCTAAATCCAATAATCCTCATGGTGCACCATACAGAGGGATAACAACTGTACTACTACTCATTCAGCAACAACCCATCCAACCAGCATCAAAAGCCATCAGCAAGTTATTCTGTGACGCCATAAGTATCAATTTTAAATTCATGTAAAGCTATACGTAAAATTAATTTTGTTTCTAATTTATTAGTAGAATAAAAATATTATATTTTTTGAAAAAGACAATCAAGATTTGATTTCACGTACAAAGCGTCTATGTATCTGCTTATAAGTATTTCGCCCTAATAGGGCTCATCAGAACAGCTATTCATAGGCGTTCTGAACGTGAAAATAAATCTTTTCTGTCTTAAGAGGCAAATCCGTAAAATAATTTCGAAACCAATTCA